ATATATATGTATGTTTTTTTAGTTCTGTTTTATTCATAGGCAGTGTATAACACATGTGGGTCACTCATTCAGGATTGAATTTGTGCAAAAAGAGATGAATGAGGAAATGAGAATAATACTGGTGGTGACAGATGGCTTCAAATAATGTCTCTTTTTAATTGACCTCTACGATGCGTATAGGTGACCTTTACTTGGTATTCTATGAGTTTATCTCTCTAAACTTCTCAATATTACCAGATAATGTCGTTAATACATGTTTACTGTGTTATACTTGCTCTGCATACTGTTAGCAGTCAATATTTGCCGAGATAGGTTGCTATATATGTTCATGAATTTTTTTACAATGACAACTTAACATCTATGAATGAGAATGGCATATTTTGCACGCTTGATTTATTATGATGTATTATAGTGGACTGTCTATAACTTTAAATTTAGTTTGGTTGGTGTCCTGTATTTGTTTTTAGTGTGAAACCTTTGTGTTTCCTTTTTCTTCATTTCAAAAACCTCAATTTGTTATGAATCATTCTTGAAAGGTTGGCATAAATATGTTGCAAACATTTTTACCCAACAAATGTTATGCTTTTCTGATTTTAATGACAGACATTACCATTCAATTCATTCTTGTGTGGGAAATTTGATATTCTCTCTCTTGTCATGCTTGTCACAGATGACATACTGGTTGCATGGTAGGTTTTTTTTTCTATTCATGCTGATTACCACATACCTCGTTACTTTGAACACTGAATTTCATTTTTGAGTAGCATGTGTTTTACCGCGCTCATTAAGCTTTTCCAGTTTGGTTGGAATCAATTTTGAATTCCGTCTGGGGGGCATTCTGGATTGAGTGTGGGCTGACTTTTTTGTTAAATATTGGTCTTAAGTTCTCTGTTTTTGCTCCAGATGCTCTGAAGTTCAGGAACAATTAGGTTTTAGAATGGCACACCCTTTACTGATTTACACCACCATAATACCTTTGTTATGCCTCTCTCTCTCTCTCTCTCTCTCTCTCTCTCTCTCTCTCTCTCTCTCTCTGTATATATATATATATACATGATACAGGTAATGTTATGTTTATGCTTTTATGTCTTTTTTTTTTGTACCAGAAGCTGGGAGAAGGGCTACAGCTGCAAGATGATGGAAGAGGAGGAGGAGACTCTCTTTGATCAAGAGGGTCTTCTGGGTAACAAAGAGGAATCTACAGCAGAGAATAAACAATTTAAGAGGAAAATTCTGAAGACTGCAGCACTGTCCATGGCGTTTTTTTCTCTGGTAAGTTGTATTTTCTCTGTGATGTATGTGCCAATTCAGGAAAACCCATGACACAATCTTTTGTTTTTAATACAATTTTTAGCTTAAGTAATTACTTAGAAAGGCTAGTGCTTCCACTCTTCTGTATTTTTACGAAAATTGTTCTTTCTGCCAGTTCCGTACTTGTTCCTCCATCATTATCAACTCCCTCCTTTAAAAAAACTGCGACAGCGCAGGACTGCCGAAATTCCGTACTCGCCTTCGTATTGTCTTGTATAAGTTACGGATATTTACTGTAATTCTCTCGGCAACAAGTTAAAATTATAATAGAAACCTGCCAGATTGCGCATTTCCTGCAATCGGCCATTATTCCGCTATGTCCCATGCATTCATTGCAGGTTTGTCGGCAGTACATTTTTTCCTGCCGATGGATCAAAATCTGGCGTACCTTTTTTGCTGATTTCCTCCTTTCTATTATTCACTCATTCCTTCTGCTATCTTCGGATTGTTGCCGTGGCTGAAAAACCTGCGTGTTGATCAAGTAAATTGACTTGTGATCTTAGACAGAAAATTACTGTCAGAAAGGAACTTTTTTTTTCAAATTTGTCTAGATCTAGAGAAATTATCAATGCGAAGATTCTACTGCCCGTGAACGCAATAAGGGCCGCGATGAAAGAAATATATGCTTGTATGTGGGTGCCCACTACGGATGGGATCGAACGATCGCGCTGATCGCCCGACTCGGTCGCCTCAAAAACAAACATGTTTGTTTTCAGTTTCAGGCGATCGGCCCGATCCAGCCGTAGGTAAAATAAAAAATTATTCAAAGTGGTGTTCCGAGGTTGTGACAGGCGACACTCAGACGTGAAAATTGGGAAAAAAATTGGGTATGCACTGCGCAACTGTATTTTGAAGGTACATCTATTCACTATTCCCAGGTTTGCCTGCTATCAATGGTGCGACCACAAATTAATTGAATTATAGTAGCAATGAAACGGGAACCTGCTTTTAAACTTTGCCTGCAATGGAAAGATATGTTGGCGAAGAAATCAAACGAGACAAAATGTTGGTAAAAAAAATAAAAATGTATGGGCCTTCAAAAAGGCTCCCAAATGCCATTTTCAACTTTCTAAAAGCACCCTGAACCCCCACCCGAACGCTGTCCCTGGACCCTGCTGAATTTTCCTTACTTTTCAGCTTCAGCTGGTGGAAGCACTGAAAGGCTCTTTGGCATTACTTATTACTGAGGGGTTCTAATTTTATTTTGAAGCTTACAAATTGTTGCATTCCTGAGTTATTGATATTCCTTTTGACCCTACCCATCCCCACTATCTGCTTGTGTTACATTTTGCCTGTGCTAAGTGACTGTATTTGGAGCAATGGGCTTCTCTTTACTTCACCCAAACAAATTTTACTCCCTTTGATTCCTCGACAGGGCATATGCATTGCTATCCCCGGCAGCACCATACAGGACCTTGGGGCCCATGTGAAGAAACGTGTGTCCCAGGTAGCATTTATCTTCACCGCACGGGCTTTTGGCTACCTCATCGGCTCCGTGGTTGGGGGCGTGCTCTTTGACCTGTTTGACCAACAGGTTCTGCTCTTCTTCACGTTGTCCGCCACGGCGGTGGCCACCACTGTTGTGCCATGGTGCAGTGCTCTGCTAATCCTCTCCCTGATGATTGCTGTTCATGGAGTGGCTATCGGAGTGCTGGACAGCGGTCAGTGATGAGTAGAGTTCCTGTCACATATGATATCATCTGATACCTATTTTACCTTTATCATTTTTCTTTTAAATCCTCAGTGGTACAAATAATTGTTCTGATGCATTCTAGAAGCGAAAATGTTTATTTTTCAGTCACATTTCACTAAATTCATGCCCATAGATAACTAGAATTTTTTTTTTTAAGGGTGTGACTTGAACTTTTTCCGCCCTGGCCCACTGAGCCTTAAATAGGACTTGTGCTCCTGAGCTATCTTTTATCCACTACTAGTTTTCACCACTGCATAAATTGAGGGGAACATTAAGGGAAGGCGCGGGTTGTAAAAAAGTAATAACAAAGCGAACGCATTTTTTTTTCGCGTGACGTTTTTTTGCGTTTTCTCTAAAACGCGATATTTTTTGGGATATGGGGTTTTAGTGCAGTGAGATTTCGGAGGCTGTTTATAGGATTCCCTTGAAATTTGGCCTCAGTCTGGGCAATTGGCGTAGTTGCAGTGTGTTAGAGGCTTTTTTTGATTTATGGAATATTTTTCATATTACTACGTTCTATATGCCTCAGAGGGTGCGATTTTAAGGAAAATTCCTGTGTTTTAGCAAGTCATGCGTTAAAATCCAGGATATCTCGCTCTTTATAAATGATATTTAAAAAATCGTCTAACAGGTTGCAACTACCTATCCTGAGTTAACTCTGTGAAATTATTGACTCTGTAGCTTTATAAATAAGAAAATTACGCCTGCTCTAAAATAACGCCTTATAGGGGGTTGTGACACCCTAAAGTGTAAAAATTTGCCTGAAGCGCAGAAATAGAGTCCATTTGACTACCTGAATAACGTACAAGACCCCCAAAGTCATATAAAATGCCCTTAAATGATTGCTAAGTCTGTGCATAACAGATTTTGAAAAAAGCATGCCTGTCTTCCCTTAAGTAGGTAAGTAAAATGGTAAAGTACACTCTTGGTTACAGCATTGAGGTACCTCCACCCTTACCTATAGAAATGGTTTATAAATTGTGTTGATGAGCGTTTAAAACGCTTGCTTTCAGAAACCACATCTCTCTCTCTCTTGCCCTTTTTTACTCCCAGTGGAGCATAGGCCATCAACAACATTTCTACAGCGAAGCCTGTCCTGTGCATCCATTTCTAGCTGTTTCCATGATGTCCCTGCCTTTTCCATTTTCGCATGTACTGCCTCCATGTCATCTTTGATCTTCCTTTTTTACGTTTTCCTTGTGGATTCCACATCAAAGCCTGTCTGATGATGCTTGTCGGGGGTCTCCTCAGGGTGTGCCCAATCCTTTTCCATTTCTTCACCTGTTTGTCTACTTTTACTGGCCTTTGGCTTGTAATTTTCCACCGTTGAGCATTTGTGACTCGATCGTACCACTAAAAACCACATATAGACATGTTATAGTGAAGTATAACTTTAAGAGAAAATAGTATTTTTGGAAAATAGATCTTTTACTCTCTGTAACAGTTATTTGGTCCTTCAGGATTTAAAAAAAAAAAATTGAACATTGAAACATGTGTGGGTATGTGAATGCTGGGATCTCTAATTTAGGTTTTCTCCTCCAGGGTAGAAGGTGTAAAAACTGCTGTGATCTCTTAACTGTACAGTAAGGCTTCTTATTGGGGAATCTAATTGCAGAAACCCACACTACAGCCCAGTGTGATATCTACAGACCTAATCTGTTACTTTAGGGGTTAGTTTTGTTTTTCTAATACCTTTCTGCTATTGATTTAACCCTATCTGTATGTTGTGTTTTACTATCGTATCCATACAACGTGGGGAGCTCTGTGCCACCACTTTCCAAAGAGGAAATCTACTTGTTAATCTGATCCGTGCGCTTTGCATGGCAGTCTGTCAAAATGATTTTTTTTAGAAATGCTGAAAGTTTCAAAGAGATCTTTTCTCTAGAAGTATTCTAAAATGTGAAGAATACAACCCTGCGGGTACAAAATGACCTCAGGCCGTACGGATAGGGTTAAGGAACTTTTTACACTCAAATTTGGGTTTAGATTTTCTAAACATTAGGCTACAGGGATTAAACGGAGGTTGAAATTGCCCACCCTGTCAATGTTGAATTCCTATACTGTTTTTCCACGATTAAGAGCTTCAGGGAATGGAACTGAATTTTAATGGCATAGGGTATAGTCTATATGACTAACATGTTAATTTTACTAAATAATAAATATTTTTGTTGAAACATTAGTATTTCATACTTTTTTAGTGGTTGTAGCCTGGGGATAAGCGGCTTGTAATTTATACGAAGTTTATATATATTGCTGCTGTCATTTATCATTGCCTTTTGTCAAAATGCGAGGCAATGGGGAGAAGAGAAAATATGTTTTATTTCAGACTGGGCATTATGTTACTACAAAATGCTTATTTTATCTAAAACATTACTGTTTTAAGATGAGGAATGAGACTAGGACCAATTGAAGGGCCTTGCCAAACTTTACATTTTTAATTATTATCAATTTTTTGTTGTTGAAATTTTGACATGCCGCCATGATTTTTCTCTCAGTAAATTTTTGTTATTTTGTTTTTTTCTTATAGGTGGCAATGTTTTTTGCATCAAGATTTGGGGCAAAAGAAGTCCGACCTACATGCAAATATTGCATTTTGCCTTCGGTTTAGGCGCTTTTTTGGCTCCTCTTCTGGCCCGACCCTTCCTCAATGACCAGCTGTTGACCTACTCTAATGAGTCGGTCAGTGGCACTCGCCACCCTATCAACACCCAACTGACAGCCTTGGTAGGGCCAGATCTAGGGAGGGACATCCGAGATGTTCATCAGCTCGAAAGAAATGCTGTACCGGGGCTTTTAGTGGAAAAGTTTCTGAACTCTCCCACAGTGCATTTAGAGAAAAGGGATGCTGAATCAAATTCGTCGGTGCCTAATGTTACATCAAGCTCTCTCGTTGATGACTTTAATGAAATAAAGTTGAGTTCTACTGCGGCAAGCCCTTCTACGTCCCCTCTGCCGAAAAAGCCGTCTGTGATTAATGGAGAACATCTCAAAAAGGAAAGTGCGGATGGGGCAAAGGAGAATCCACAGTTGCAAGAACTCAAAGACAATCCCATTGTCGTGACACCCCCAAAGGACCCTGTAACCGTGACCCCTCCTGTCTTAGAAGAGCCTAGTGAGAATATTACATCAAGTAACTTGACTAATGAGGCAAGCAGCTCTGTGAATAACACTGCAGTTGGTGATGTAGAGGGTGAGGATAGCGAAGATAAAGAGTCCAATAAGGACAGTCGTGGTAATCAGGGAGAGACAGAAGAAAACCTCTCATTGGATGATGATATTTCAGCAGGCACCCCCACCCAGCTATCAGCATCAGCTACTACCACCACCACCACCAATACAACTGCAGCATCAACAACAACGACAACAACAGCTGTACCAACAACAACAACGACAACAACAGCAGCACCAACAACGACGACAACAACCACATCTACAATGTCAACTAGTACACCTCCAAGCACCTCCACTTCACCCACCACCAGCACAAGTACCACCAGCACCAGTACTCCAACAACATCCTCCGACACATCCCGGTCCTCACTAGGAGATGATGACACCCGCAAACCACCTGAAACAGTTGACTTGGGGCTTAATACAACCTCAAATAACATGACTGATAATTTTGGGTCAGATATCGCTTCAGATTTATTTCATGCAATGCTTGACACTGTCAGAAACATGTCTAAAATACAATTTGCTTACCTGATTATTGGGCTCCTTTTGTTGGTCAACGCTGGATTCTTCTTGTTCTTGTACTGTAAGGATAAGTACAACACAACCCCTCTATACTCTACATCTCATGAGGACCTCACCCGTCCGCCGGACTCGAAATGCTTTGTTGCCTCGATCCTCATACTTTTATTTTGCTTCTTCTTTGTCTACGTGGGCATGGAAGTGACGTTTGGGGGGCTCATCACCAAATTCGCACATGCCTACCCGAAAGCTATGTGGACAAACGCAGATGCTGTTATGCTAGACGCGATGTTCTGGGGATCGATTGCGGCGGGTCGCGGCATCTCCATCCTCCTGGCACACTACTTCAAAGCCCCATGCATGATGGTGATGAACATGATCCTCACAGTCCTGGGCAGCCTTATTCTCAGTTTTGGCATCTTCGCCACTCCGATCCTGCTCTGGGTGGGCACGATGGTCCTGGGCCTGGGAATGTCATCCATTTTCCCGACCATCATCTCATGGGCTGACTCCTACTACCCTCTGACAGGCAAAGCCACGGCTGTTTTCGTTGCGGGCTCTGCGTTTGGTGAGATGATCGTCCCCTGGCTTACGGGGATCCTCTACGACAGGGTTGACCAGATGGCACTCATGTACATGACCTTGACCTTGTCTGTTCTGCTGTCGATGTTGTTCCTGGCCTTGCAAGTGATTGCATGTCAGAAAACAAAGGCGAACCCCCGGCGCTCGCACTCTGGCTTCATGCGGTTGGAGAACTCAGAAGACGTGGCTGATGCCATAGATATGGACCTGATGGAGACACCGATGTCCTCACTCCGGTTGAGACGCCCTGCAGAGAATGAAGTGGGTTCGGAGAACCAAGTGAAGCAGAATGGAGCTGGACACGAAGTGACTGAGTTCACCAAGCTTGTGGAGCTTAGTGATTAATGATGAAGCCTGTGCTGGGAGTTTTGTGCTTGTTTCCCTGAAACTGATTTTTTTTTTTTTTTGAGTACAGAGAAGCACATTGTCGCAATAATGATCATTTTACAAGATAAGATAGTACTTTATTATCCCAGAGGGAAATTTTCCTTGGCTGTACAAGACCGTTAAAACACATGCAGGTATACATAAAAAATTTAAATTATATATATTGCTCTCATTATATTTTATGGAGGGAAAAAAGTGAGACTGACAAACAACAGAGGAAAAGAAAGATGTAAGACCTACCAGTGGCATCCTCCAACCACCCACTTTCACCCTAGATCATGAAATACAAAATGCTGAGAAAATTATCCCCAATACTCAAACATGTTCTTTTATACCTTAAGATCAGGAGCGGGAATTTTTATCTTTAATGCTGTAAAATGATTTGTCACAAAGCATGTTGTTATCAATGAATTTGTTCTCTTTCAATCCAGAAAGTCCCACGATCCTACTACTCCACATGCGTCAGATGTGGTGATTAACTACCCTGGTTATTGCTTTGTAAACGGCGCAATTTTATTTTTATTGCAGCAATTTTTTTTTTGTTTCCTTTTGTCGGTCTATTTTGAATGCAGAAAACTGTTGCAAGTCATCTGAACAAATTCGCTGACGATTCACTGCTCTTGTTCATGTTCATAAAGACATTTTCTCTCTCTGTGCCTAATTGGCAATGTTGTGAGACTTTCTCATGAATAGGACTTCAAAGAAAGTATTATTATTATGTAGATGGCTTTGATCTTTTCTTTTTTCCAGCCTTCAGAGACTTGATTAATTGTCTGAATGCTCTCCTGTTTTCTGGTAGTTTGAGTATAATTTCATATTCTGCTAGTCTTCCCTTATGATATGACAGAAAGGTGTATCAAAACAAAAAAGAGACTGTTATCATCACCTTCTCATACTTTTCAGCTTGGGGGGGGGTTGATACGTTGGTTTGAGATTTTTTTTCTTCTTTCTATTCTTAGATTCTTTTTTTAGTACTTCCCTTTTTGCCTCAGTAATAAATTTTCTTTGATTTTTTTTTTTACTTTATGGGGATAGAGAGATGACTTGATGTTTTGTTATTTTTTTGGAAATTCTGTACGTCATACTTTAGTCTTTCTTTTTTTATGTGTTGCAATTTTTTCTCTTTTATTGCAAAATGTACTGAATATTGGAAAACCCCTTTATTGGAGCCTGAGATTTAATTGATCAGTCAATAGTAAGAAAATAATTGAGCGTAGAAGCATGCTTGAAAGATGAAACATGGCAAAAATGTATGTTTTGAACATCTGAAGAGATTCTTTTTCGTGGAAAAAGTCTTAGAAGTGCTTGCCAAAAAAAATCACCAAAAAACCCCCTAAAAAGTAGAGGATAATGGAAGGAAAATACTGTGTACAGATAACTCTTGACTGCAATACTAACAGTCTCATGAAGACTGGATCAAGAACATACCAGGTTTCACAACTGTTTCAGTGGACCAATGTTTTCAGAGGTGTTTGAATTGTTGTTATGTTACCTGTAAATTTGTGAGTCCAAATTTGATGAGCAGGGGTGGTGTATATGAAGGCCACAGTGAAAAACATTGTCTTCAAAAACTGTCATAGTAAACAAAGAGCTCCATAAACAAAGAGACCCTTTTTGAAAAAGAGTACAATGAAAAAACAGTCATATATATGTGAACTTGAAAATGTGACTTTGATGGTTTTCAACTTTGGTTTTCTTATGAGAGATGCCCGGAATAGTTTTATGTCACCCATAGTCATGGGCTGATTGTAGTGATAAATATCACAAGACCGGTGGAATATATCTTTTGTAAAAGAAGAAAACCATCCATGTTCATATTATGTTTTTACAAATTGCAAATCAAAGTACATGTGTATTTGCTATTTTTTGGCCAAGCATTGCTATTTATAGACTGAAGAGTGTTTTAGATGCCTGTGCAACATCTTGTTCCCCTTATGTTGTTGTTTTCCAAATAAATATAACAGGTCAGGTTTTGACGCTTTGTAAAAGGGAAGCTTTATATTTGAGGGAAAAAAGTACATGTAATGACATGTTAAGTCCCAAGTTTCACTTAAGATCATTTGAGGTCACTTTACTTTTGGAGTTTCTTTGAATGGGACTTATTTGAAATCTAGTAATTTAACGTCATAGAATAGTTTATGAAGAAATTACGATGATAAACATTTTTTATGAAATAATCTGAAGTATATTTCTGGATGAGAGTTTTGCCTATGAACAAATCCAAAGTTCCCTGGTTGTGCTGATACACTTTTTATCCTAAAAATGCCTAAAGCTTTCATCTTTGTAAGAAGTCCATGCCAGAGTCTTAGATTTATCCTTACTGACAGATATGCATTTTTCATAGCTTTTGTGCAAACCTGTTCTTGTTGTGATGTTGTGTCCAATATGTGGTATGTCTTTCATTAATGAAATAATGCTTGTCTTTCTTTGCTCAACATTAAAACAGCTTTGTGTTTATATGTCTAACTGTTCGTGTTATATTTCATCATCAGCATGTACACAGAAAGCTTTATAAAGACCAAGCCTCAACGACTTTTCAAATGCTGAAATTTTCCAACAGTTTGCCTGGAGCGAGATTTATGATCAGTTGTCTGGAAGTAATTAATGTAAACATTGCCTGAATGAACAGTATTTACTTTCTTTTTATAAAGTCATTTATGAAAGATGGTTTTCTTTAATGAAATCTTTAGATGTGTACATTATGCTTTGGAGATAGTTTTGGTGTTGTGGCTGAAAATGCTCTTTCTGGATGCTGTTATGTATTTGCCTGTTTCCGTCAAATTATGTAGTTCCATATCTCCCAGCGAAGAATTTCTACAGTGTAAATTTGATGCTTTTGATATCTATTTTATGTATATTTTTTTTCGTAATCCATTCTTACCATTTTCATTGGTGTGATGTATGTAACAAGCTTTGTTTTGTTGCTACGGATGGAAGGGTTTGAGCAGAAGATGTTCACATTTTATGATTAAATTCAAAGCCTGTTAGAGAGTAAAATTGTGGTGTCATAGTGTCAATTATGCTGTGTAAAATTCACATGGACTTATTTATCATTTAGTTTAGTAAAAGTTTCATGGTGTTCTCAACACTGCATAAAGTCATATGAGTGTGAGTATTTATCGTCTCTGTTACAAAAACAACAACAACCAAGTATCAGTTAAAACCTCCAGTGTGTATTGTTTGTTTTTGTTCAACCAAGTAGGGTCAAGTGGAGTCACTCTTTTTTCCTACAACAGCCCTAGTGCTGTGTATGATGTTTAGTTTAATCTATATGTGAGGCAGCGGGATGAAATCAGGCACTCGTGAAAATAATGAAAGTTAAGAAACTCAGGTTTGGGAATTTTTATTGAATTTTATTTTTTTTTGGCTCAACACCTTTCATTCTCTTTAAGGAACTCAGTTCTGTGTGGATTTTACAGAAAAACGTTGATGAAAGGCATAAAAGATGTAAATTTTTAGTTTCCACGGACTCTCAAGCTAAGGAAATAACTCAATTATGGGAACCATTTTCTTGCTAATTTTACTTCTAAAGCCAAAGTTTGTTTCCCACATACTGTTACAATAATTGATTGATTCTGTTCCCCCCTGAGCAATATCCTTGCGTGTGGACTTTCCGTATTCTTTTTTTTGAAGTCTTTCCGCTTTCCATAGTTTTAAAAATATCAGTGACGTCAGTCAGGTTTTTTGGCTTGCTCACTGTGAATTCTGTGTTGCATACTTTGACATTCAGCATTTCAGTGCTAATAATTTTTGTCCTTTTTGCAATGGTTTTGCTTTGGGTACAGCCATATTCATACCCTACTATTGTTAATGGTCAGATTTGTATACTGGTTTAACTTGTGATTTGTATTTGAGACTTGTAAAGAAAAAAAAAATACTCACAGCAGGCTAGTGATTGCACTAGTTCTTTCATCCCCCTATCAGGTAAGTGTTAAACAGAAGTGCCAGCATTAGTCTATGTGAATATGGATTTTGTTTGTTTTGATTTTTTTTTCTCTCTGCTCTAGAAAGCCAGATCAGGTCTATCATATGGTCTGTTACCTACTTTCCTGTGCTTTTTATGTAATATATAGTTCCTTAAAATGGGATGCCCCGTGCTGTATGAACATACACCAAAGTCTAAATTTTGATTGGTGAATTTCCAGCTGATAAAATTAATTAAAACTGTTTTTAAGTACAAGAGAAATCCTCTTTAGGAGTGATTATTTTTATCATGTGAATTCTTGTCTTAACTTTGGCAGCTGACTTTACCAGTGTTGATTTTGAGTGGATTTTCTTTTGCACTGAAGAGGGAAAATAGTTCAGCGGAGATCAGAGGTTGCGCTACCTCTGGAAGAGGTTAAAGTCATTTGTAGACGTTCTATTTCTTCTTAGAGTTCACAGATTTCGTGTAAAGAACAATGTTATGGAGCAGATTTATGTTATTTTGGAAATTTGCATTTCTAGATTTGTTATTTTAAAGTAGTAGATTCAGAACATTTTATTCCAGGTGAAGAGATTTTGCTGTAAAAGTGAAATATGTTTGGATTTTTTTTTCCCTAATTTACTGATGTTTAATGTCTGCCTGCAGTTTTATTATGCATCATGTGCAACAAAATTAGCTCGACTTACAAACAATAAACTCGTTTTGATATATAACTACCTTCATGCCATTTGCCACCAATTGCTAAACTGTGTGATACTATTCGGTGGAGTTTGTAGTCTACTGGTTAGGCTACCAGACTTGTAACCGTGAAGTTGCGGGTTTGGAAACTTGTGGCTCATCTCTGTCTGACATTGTGTCCTTGGAAAAAAGACTTTGCTAACATTTTCCCCTCTTTAGCCAGGTGTGAATAGAGACCAGAGACATCGAAAGATCTTGTGAAGAGAGTGTTAGTGTTTTAGCACCTGCCTGTAAAATGGCGAGTGGTACTGTATGCTTCTCAGGAAGTTGCAGAATGCTATCGGGTCTATTATTATTGTTATTATTATTATTATTATTATTATTGTTATTATTATTATTATTATTATTATTATTATTATTATTATTATTATTAATAGTAATAATCTAATTAATCATTCATATCAGAAATATTCATGGCATCATGTTTAGTTAAATTGTTTTTCCTTGTTACTACAAGGCTGCTTATGTATCTCATCTTTTGTAAAGGACAAACTAACCAATCCTAGAATATATGAGACCCAAAAAGCTTTGAAAAACATCAGAATCAATGACTGTGTTCACTCACTGCAGTGTTTCATCACATATCTGGATATTTTTGCTACTTTCTGGTTTCAAAAGAGTAAGCATATTATTTTGTGAAATCCTTTTTTTTTTTTAATTGTTGCAGTAAATGGTAGTATTACTGTAATTACTTTTTGTACTTTTTCTCTCTCCTGTCCTGTAAATGTCTGAGCCTGCTAAGCTCTTTAATTGTTTTCATTAACTTTTCACTTTTTAAATGATGCAGACTTTGCTCTACTTTACTGAATGTGCCAATTTTGAAATTTGGATTATGTTACGTGATCTGCCATGTTCTTAAAATGCTTGATGTGGTTTTCTACTTCTTTTTGGTTACATTTTCCCTTATCTGTTCATAGTGGAATAGTGCCATTATGTTGCTGTTTTACCATGAACTACAACTTAACAACAACCATACCATCATTGTCGCGAGAAAAATGAGTAGCTAATTGACGCCCCTTTGACAGCTGTCGTATTCTGTGACCTTGTTCTTGTGTTCAAATGAACACATATGTGTCACAACGCAATGGAATCAGGCGCTCGTCAATTTTTGTGCATGTGGAGTTATTGGTATCATCTTAAAGCTTGTTCATTTATCTTGCTTTTGATGAAAAAAATACTCATTTATCTTGAACAAAAGTGAAGATATTTGTTATTGAAAGAGGTACGTTCACTTAGTTTCAGCGGTAAAAATAGCGAGGAAATGGTCACTAAAGTTTGGTAACTTCAATAGCTAAAGAGTCCTTGAAAACGGAAAATTACATATATTTTGAGCTTTTAATTAATGTTTTTCAATATGATTCACATGGAAATGTGTTTTTATATGGACATAAAAGTGTTGAACAAAAAAACAAAAATTTGATTAAAATTGCGAAACTATTTCTCCAATTTTGTCATTTTAACGGGCGCTTGATTTCACCGTGATGCCTCACATATTTTTTTTTTGAGGGTTGAAACCTTAGAAAATCCTTTTGAAAACTGTTTAAAGTTCACCATAATGGGCTTGCATAATTTGAATTAGTGCCATATGCAGGAAGATCTCAAGTGGTTATGTGTTAATCAGTGTTTATAATAAGGATGGTCAGAAGAATTCTGGCAAAGAAACAGATTCATTGCCGCTGTGAAGTTGAGTTGATTGTTTGGTTTGTCGCTCTTTACTGATATTGTGGTTTCGGTTTGTTGTGTCATTGCATGCTCAAGTTCCATTTTGTCCCTGCTTTGATTTTATTTTGTATTGCCATTTAAGTCTGCTCAGATGTGCCATTAGCACAATTGGTGTAATGCTGGGCAATGGTGTGAATAATCCTGGTTCGAATCTCCATTGGGGTGTTCTTGAACTTTGGTTGTTTAGGGAGTTTTTAAGGCTGTCCTCCCATTTTGCGTCCTAATGGAGATGGACCGTAAATTCAAAGGTCGTGCCTCTGGAATGAATAAACCAAACTTACACACTGAAAGGGGTGTACAGCCCATACAATTACCAATTGCAATTATCTGAAGGAGCAAGCTCAGTACTGCTAATAACCGAATTCTTCTCTCTGTTTGCAATAATTGCTTTTGTATTCTTGCTTCTTTCTGGTTGCAATAATGATATGTGAGGCATTGTGGCGAAATCAGGCACTCATCAAAATTATGAAATTGAAGAAACTGGCGTTTTTCTGCCTGTTTGGCAATTTTTATCAATTTTTTAAATTTTTGACTTAACTCCATTGTTGTCCAATTAAGAACACATTTCTGAGCGGGTTTTACTGACAAACGTTGATTAAAGACACTAAAATGTAAGTATTCAGTTTCCCCGGACCATTCAAGCTATGGAAATAACCAAACTTTGGCAGCCATTTTCTCGCTAATTCTGCTTTTGAAATCAAGCGACCCCACCTTTTTAAATCTCAAATACCTGGCTTGATTTCTATTCAAGATACATGGGCATTTTTTTTCACTGATAGCAAGATAAATGAACAAGTCTTAAGATGATGCCAATATAACTCCATATGCCCAAAAACTGATAAGCTCCTGATTCCACCACACCGTGACACATATTTGTGTTCTGCTCATGGCACTGTTGTGTTACTCAGTCGTGGCTGAAGATGTTAGTCGTAATCCACTGTCTAAACATATTAACCAGTTTTTTCCGTCCAAATTATGATCAAAACTGTTCCCCAACTGGGACTTTCCAGTGTGGTCGATGTTGTATTTTTTTTTAACATTGCCCTCTTGGTTTGTTTTTTATTCTTAGCTCAGTAAGAAAAATGGTGAACCTTTATGTTGACCCACAGGGCCAACAATTGTGATTTATGGAAAAAAAAAAAAATGTGTTTGCCGCAACAAACAGGGCACATCAAGTGAGAATCTAATTTAATTGATTTGTAAATGAGAAGTGAGTTCAAATGTTTTGCTAAAGTATATTTTAGTTCTATCAATGTAATTTACCCCCTCCCCCATTCCCTTCCTACTAAAGAAAAAGGCAGGGAAATCCTTATTGGGGTATTAGGTCCCCTTTCTTGGTGATCCTTTACTGCTCAGATTGAAGACTGTTATTTTTGTGTTAATGTTCGCATCAATTTATAAAGAAATTGTGTAATTCGTCCCGTGTTTCAAGCACAATTTTCTTCTACAAAAAAAAAATTTAAAAAATTATTACATTCTTATGTAAAAAGGGTTTCTTTTGTCTACTGAAAAGAATCTTTTTTCTGCTGAAAAGAAACAGTTTTGTGATAGTGGAACATATGCATGTTGGGTTTTTTTTAATGGGGGGGGGGGGGGTATATTGACATTACCTGTTTTTAAATCAGCATTCTGATTATTGTAGGCGTAGTGTGTCTGATTTTATTAAGTAGTTCTCATTTCTTTATATGTTTTGTTTGTATTTTTGTGGTTTTCCTCTTGTTGTTTTTTTCTCTATTTTTGTTGTATTTGATATCCTGTTTCAGTGGCGTCAGTAGTCTAGTGGTTTGGCTACCGGTTTTGTAATCGAGATTACGGATTCGGGGTTCAAGGCAAAGCTCGATGTCCTCGCTCAGGGAAGGCATTTTGCTCCAATTTTCTCATTTGGCTCGGTCCTGTTGGAAGTGGTTGTCAAATTCAAAGGTCC